AAACTTCGATGCGGTTGCACGTTGCGGTGATCGCGAAACAAATCGAAGCCGACGTGGCTTATCCCGTTGACCGCTTGCGTTAATAGCGTGATTAATAACGATTCGATACGCGAGACGGGATAACGATCCATTCGTGTAAGTCGACGTTTAGAAATACACCCTCGGAAGGAGGATTAATCCCGAGCGCGGGATACGTTTGTAGAAGTGAAGGAACAATAAATTATTATTTGTTTATAATAAAAACGAGAGTGATTATATCTCGGCCCGATAATATTTCCTATCCGAGTTCCGTACATTACGCGACGCAATAACAGGGCGTGGCCGACGGCCTTGAACACGTCCGCGGCGTAGAAGACGGCGACCGTTGAGCTGGAAGGAAGAGAGGGGCATAGCAACAGCGAGAGGTTTCTGTATTTGAGCCTTAAAATACAGTGGCGACCGTATAATTCAGCCCAAGTAGTAAGTGGCTATATTTCAATTTTCATAACATCAATCGTTGTTCCGGTCACAACCTAACTTAACTGAAAAAAGTAATCGCTAATTAATAAATTAATATATGAATTTTCCATTATTAATATCTGAAATTAATTTTTACTATTACATCAAAACCGATTTTATAATAAATCATTAATTAAAATAAATTAATTTGCTTACTGGTACATTCTCCATGGTAAACACAGGCTTGCACAGGCTGAAGACAGACAAAGAGTCACATATATACACATTGATGCACACACTTAATATAAAACCGCGTAATACGCTAAAACTGAACGCGAATTGTAGCGCAGACGTTATGAAAAACGCGTAACGCCGTTGATTGGTTACGCGATACGCGTTACGCGGAAAATACATGCCATGGGACGTCACCCTAAGAAAGTCACGTTCGCCTGTTTGGGACGATGTGCTCGTTGTTTGCCCTCTAGAGTACCGTACACTAAACAGCTTTGTACTCAACCGTGCCGTTAACCGTTAGGTAAGACGATCGAACTTCGCAGATTCTTGTTTTATTGCTAAAATACTGCGCAGGGTTGGGCACGTATTATACGTGAGATATTATACAATGTATTATACATGGTATTCTACAGTATAGTACGTTACTTAGTTTTATACGTATTATACTTCAAGTGGCGCCATCTCTACATAACGTTGTGTACCTAGTTATCCGTAGATAACAGAAGTTTACAGAAGTCGCATGAGACGCACAATGTAGATGTAGAGCCGAGCACCTCCAACCTCCACAGTGACACCCGAGATAGCGAAAGATTCCAGAAAAGCGATTTATACGTGCGAAAAATGCAACAAGCAATTTGGTTTAAAACCAGAATACGAATTGCATATGAGAGTGGTGCATGAGCAGCAGAAATTCACTTGTAACACTTGTAAAAAGAGTTTCATAAATCAATCGGATTTGAAGACGCACATGACAACGCACGAGGTTCGTGTTATAACGAAACCGACAATAATATTGATTTTAAAAAATTGCTGAAGAGATATTGTAAATCTTAAATATTTTTATTTAATTTTTACGATTTTTTTGCTAAAATTGCACATAATATTTCTGGAGCTTGTTAAATGTATATGTAATATTGCAGAAAACTAAAATATTGCAGAAAATTTCCCGATTGGGAAACTACCCTTGCGAAATCTGCGGTAAGGTCCTAAGTCCTAAATTAACCATCCAAGTTCCGTCTTGTATCACAAGGAAGCCGAACATAACGACGGTCGTCGTTTTGTCTGCAACAAATGCAACAAAAGCTTCAAGCATAAACAGTTGCTCCAGCGACATCAGCTGGTGCACTCGGATAATCGGCCGCACATTTGTAAATCCTGTAACGCCAGTTTCAAGACAAAAACAAATCTGATTAATCATCAGGCCACCCACACTGGTGAGAAAACATATAACTGAACTTTGCAAGCAACAATTTGCGCACAAGACTAGTCTCACTTTGCATTACAGGATTACAGGTAACACATCATCACATTAACAGGAACACATCATTTATTTTTAATGTACAGACATTCTAAGATCTTGACAAAGGAAATAGATATGCATTTTTAAGTTCTCCGGAACTTATATAAATAAAACTGTGTGTTTAACTTTTATTTGAATTCTGAATTAATATTTAATTAGCTATCGGCGTAAAATGAATATAATATCTTATTAATATCTAATAAGATATCTATTAATATCTTATTATTATCTAATTAAAGGAAAGCCATGAAACGAAGTTTTGGCGGCAGGCCTCGCCATGAATGTTGGGAAGATCAAAAATTTTTACCAATACAAGATAAAGGAAAAACAGTTGCGTATTGTTGTCTTTGCGAAAATATTTTGAAAAATACATCAAAAGTGAGGTTACAGATGCATAGGTAAGTCTAGAAAGTTATATTAAGAAGAATGATATTTGGTCAAAAATAATTTAAAAAAAAGTAATTTAATGCAATACATTCATATTCTCAGAAAAAATTGCCACGAAAAGTCGGACAGCGTTGTTGTTGTGTCAGGAGAAATGTTATTAAACTCCGAATCAGAATTAAACGCCGAGGACGCCAAGGTCGTCGAGGTCGCCGAGCCATTGATAAACAATAGTGACAATAACGCCAATCTGCTCAAGCTCAAGCAAAAGCAAAAAAAGAATAAAACATCGAACACACAGATACGGCCATTTTTCGACAAGATTTCTGATAAAGATGAAGTCAGGATTAACGAGGCATTGATGAAGTTTTTTTGTGGCTGCAATGTTTCTTTTGAAGCAGTTGAATCTGATCACTTTTTAAATTTGATGAAAACCATGAGACCTGCATACAAACCTCCGACAAAAGAAATGCTGACAAATTCTTTCCTTCACAACTTGCATAAGCAACTAATAACGAATGAATCTACATTAGTCAATTCTGATGGGATTTTGATGATTAAACAAACATCATTTCAAAACTCCAAGCAAATTGTAACTTTTGCTAAAACTGTTCAAGGAAAGATCTTCTATTTAAAATCATGGTATATTTTGCTCAATATAGAAGACGTAATTAACGAAGCACTACACATTGCCAAAACTAAATATTTCATCACGATTTATTTAATAATCACAGATTAAAATTATCAAACACTGACAGTGACAATACTTAATGAAGAAAGCAACATGTGGATTTTCAATTGTAACTTATCATTTGCGTCATCGTTAGAAAGAATATTATTAGACGAAGGCTTTGCAGATAAGGTTCATCATCTGCTTGTCCAATTTTCTGATTTACAAGAGGACTTATTGAAACGTGATGGAGCAATAATCATTCTATCAAATATCACTGCTTGTAGTGATTTGCACAATATGTATGCATCTTGCAAAAAAAACTTAGCAGCTATGAGACAAATTATCGGAGAAGGTATATGTAAATTGAAAAGAGCTGTTGTCGATATACTTTTCGATGAAACATTCGAACAAGAATTACAAGATTCATTGGACATGTATGAATCAATATGTTCAATTCGAGTAAAATGCAAAAGTTCATGCACATTATTCGCAGATACTGTTGAAGATTGGTTAATTTTAGAATCATTAAACAACAACCTCACTCATCGAATTCAAGAAACTATTAATAAAATAATTACATCAGTTGCATTAGCAGCAAATTTTTGTCATCCAAACTATCAAGGAGAGCGATTTCGAAATGACAAGATACGTATGATTAAGATGACCGAATTTTTTATTGACGCTTTGAATGCAAAAGGATTAGCTGATTACGAGGCATATCGAAGTTCAAGCGGAATATTCGAGAAACTAAAATCGAAGGAATGTCATGATTCACGAGTATTCTGGGATACAGTCAAGCCATTTCATGGTGATTTAGCTGCCATTGCTGTAAAACTTGTAGAAGTACCTGCTTCTGTAATATTATTGGAGCCACGTGTTGTGCACCAAAATGGATTAACTCCAGATCGTCTTCAAAAACTGACAGATTTATATTATGATTTAAAAATACGTGACAAACATGTTATTAACGAATATTGAACATTGTAAAATTATAAAAATGTTATTGCAAACATGCAAAG